CCAGAACGTCCGCTTATATTCGGATGCAGGCCACACCCTCAAGGAAACTGCCTTTCAATTGATTGGCTACTCACAGCAGATTCCATCATGGGAGTGATTACATATAACACTGAGAATCATGGCCCAGCCAAGTTGACACACAATCTTAACCATTACAACAGCATTATTATTATTTTTTATTTATTTTGTTGTTGTTGTTGAGAATGTGCACAGCAACACACACACCAATTCAACAGTTTCTACACGTACCATTTAGTGACATTGATTACACTCTTCCAGTTGTACAACCACTCTCGCTCTCCTTTTCTGAGCGGTTCCTCATCCATTAACATAAACTCACTGCTCCCCAAAGTTTCTATCTAATCTTTCAAGTTACTGTTGTCAGTTTGATTTCATATAGATAGTTCTTAAAAGAGCATGATGCTCAGGGCAGACCTTTTTTACTAGTTAAACTAAACTTATATAAAGTGGTTTTGAGATGACTTCAGGGGATATTTTTGGTTTGAGGTTTAAAGATTATTTCACAGTTTCAGGGGTTCATTCAACCTTCATGGCTCCAGGAAATCTGGAGTCCATAAGAATATGAAATTCTATTCTGCATTTTCTCCCTTTTGATCTATGGAATCTTTGATCAAAATGTTCGGCAATGGTAACCAGGCACCATCCAGTTCTTCTGGTCTCATGGCAGAGGAGGCAGCTGTTCATGGAGGCAATTAGCCACACATTCCATATCCTCCTCCTATTTCTGACTCTCATTTTTCCTCTGTTGTTCCAGGCAAAAAGAGACCAATTGCTAAGCCTTGGATGGCCGCTTGCAAGCTTTTAAGACCCCCGGCACTACACAACAAACCACAAGATAGAACAGAAGCACTGAACATGTTATTAGGCCAATTAACTGGGATATCCCATGAAACCATGAAACTATGACCCTAAACCTCCAAACCAAGAAATCAAATCCCAGGATGTTTTTGGTTGTACGTAAGTACAGCAGCTACTCTTTTTTTCTGTCATTGTTGTATATATGTCACACAACTTTTGCCTATTCACCTTTTTACAGGCGTACAACCTACTGACAGTAATTATAATAATCGGTTATACAACCCTACCCTTAATCAATGTGGTATTTCCATCACCGTTAATCCTGTCTTCTCCCCTCTCTCCTGCTCCTGGTAACCACTAATAAACTTTGTTCTCTATACATTTGCCTTTTCTTGTCTTTTTATATAAGTGAGGTCATACAATATTTGTCCTTTTGTGACTGACTTATTTCACTCAGCATAATGTCTTCCAGCTTCACTCATATGCTAAACAGCATAATGAATAGAAGCAGTCATTATTACGGATCAACCACTATTTACTGAGTGCCTAACATAAGTATTATGCAGATATTATATCATTTGGTTCTCATAACAACCCTATGGAGTAGGTATCATTAACTCCCTTTTACAGATGAGGAAACTAAGGACAAGTGAGGTTATTAACTTAACCTACTAATCCTCAAAGCCAGAATTGGAATTCAGATCCGGATGACTGCTAAGGTCATACTTTTTCCAGGATAATATACTGCCTCAAAAAAGGCAGTATCATTCAAAATGATTATACTTAGATAACAGACCAATCCAAATTAATCCCTATAAAGAACTTTATGATCCTAACCCCAGGTCTTACAGGATTGAGCTTGGTTTTCTCTCCCAGTCCTTCTTCTTCTGGTAACTTTGAATGCATCCAGTAGAATCGGAAATCAGTCTGCCACAGGGAAGGGAGGGAGAAAGATGGAATACTGCTCATCTCAAACTCTAACATAAAGTCACCCCATTCTAAATAGCCACAGGATTTACAAACACCTAAGCCCTTCTGCTGTTACCTCCATTTCCCTTAAAAAAAAAAAAAAAAAAAAAAACTGCCATAAGGTCAGGAAGATGCTTATAAAATCTTTGAAGTTTTTTTCTGAAAATCCAGTTGGATTATTAGTAGCAGTAAAGCCAACATTTATTACTGAAGGCCTGCTAGGTGTCAGGCTCCATGCTAGGGGCTTTACATGCATAATCTTAATAATCCTCACAACTACCCACTGAGGGCTGCACAATCATTATCCCCATTTTACAGGTGAGGACTCTGAGGCTCAGGGAGGTGAAGTCACTTGCCCAAGGGCACACACAAAGTACTGTGGGACCCAGGACTCTCCAATTCCAAAGCACATTATGTTAGCCTTCATTTTATTTTAATTCTGAGGACTAGAAATTATTGTACACATATAAATTCTTATAAATTACTTCATTCTCTGAGCTTTTGATATATATACCCTTTTTGTACTTGTTTTAGGGTCTTTCTTTCTTTTAAATTATTTTACTTTTTGAAATATTTTTCTTACACAGTCTTCATATTATAAAAAATATAGGTGGCTTTAGTTACCAAATTTGTTTGAAGTTATAAGATATCCTTCAACAGAACCAGAGGAAATTAAGATTTAGCAGTTCTGGATTGAATTTATGAGTTCTGGGTTTTCGGCCTGGCTCTGCATTTGGGCAATGCTTAGTACCTGGCTCTCAGCTTCCATATCTATACGAAGAAGACAATAATAGTGCTTACCTCGTAGGAGTGTTGTAAGGGATGCCATTAGATAATAATCACCAAGTGCCAGCAGTGCAATTTTTGGCCGTTACTATTTGAATGAACTGCACCTGAGAATTCTGAAGTATCATCACCTGACATGATTTGGAAACCCAGCTTGCGGAATAGTTAAGAAGCTGCTTATGGTGATAACCCATGATTCTCACACTTAAGCCTGCAGCAGAATCACATGGAGCCTTGTTAAAACATAAGACCCAGCCCCACAGTTTCTGATTCGGTAGGTCTGGGAATCTGCACTTCTAACAACTTTCTGATACTCCTGGTCCAATCAAAACCAAATCCACTGCTGTCAAGTTGATTCCGACTCACAGAGACCCTATAGGACAGAGCAGAACTGCCCCACAGGGTTTCCAAGCCTGTAATCTTTACTGAAGCAGACTGCCACATCGTTCTCCTGAGGAGCAGCTGGTGGTTTCGAACCGTTGACCCTTCGGTTAGCAGCCGAGTGCTTAACCGCCACACCACCAGGGCTCCTCACTCCTGGTCCAAGGACCACATACAAAGAATCACTACGATAAAATAATTGATAAGGAGCAAAAGGGAGTACAAGAAACCACCACTATGAAACAAGACAGAGACAATGATGGCGGGAGTGCTGCTAACAGAGATGGAGGTCTACAGGGCTGACCCAGCCTCACCCTGACGACTGCTGCTGTCACTCGTAAGAATCACCAACAGGAGAAAAACTGAGGGAAGGTGAAACCTGCAGGTGGAACACCGGGACCCCGCCTCACTTGGAAAGTCTCCTTCCAGAGCTGGCCCCTAGGAGATTACAGGCTTTGTGTCCTACCCAGGAGGCCCTGACACTTTCAGGGTCAGGATGTGGTTGGTGAAGCAGTGGACAGTGCAGGAGTCTTTCTGATGGTGCCTTACATTCCACATTCTTTCCTTGTGCCCACCTGCACAAGATGGCATCCTCCTCCTCAACCCCACCATCTTCCCTGCCAGCAACCCTCCCACATTCAGGAGCGAGCTGAGGGCGGTTGCAGCTGCTACAAAGTCCCAGCCTACCCCCTGCTCTGTTTCTCTCTTTCCTCCCCTCAAGAATTGCTATACTTCCCTCAGTCCTTTCTATCTCTCTCTCTCTCTTTTTTTTTAGCTAATTCAAACACACACAAAGATTAAGATGCAAGGAGCATAAGATAATGTTCTTGATATACCACATCCACATCTTTTACACACCAAGAAGCTAGTCACGTACTAAACCCACATGCTGAGCCACTTTCCCAGGAGGACAGAAGAGACCGGAAAAGACAAGAGTGGAGTACCCATCCTTACCTGGCAGTCATAAAAAGGATGTCCCCGCCAGCACATCACATCCAGAACGTAGTAGGTCTGGTTCACCTCACTGTAAATGCAGTCCAGAATGGTGTAGTCTGGGGCCACAAAGAGGAAAATCAGTACAGAACCCCTTTCCAATCAGGACATCCTCTGCCACGATCCAGGGAGCCCCACCTCACACTGCAACAGTCCTCAGTGCCTGCAGCAGTCACCAGCACTCAGGTCCCCATGGGGGCAAGGACTAAGAACTCTTTGGGGTGAGAGTGCTTCCACACACCCCTTTCTAGTCACCTGGTACAGCTTAAGGAAGACCTGAGGTAGGACAGCACAAGAGGGATCAAACCATTCCTTAAGCCAAGTGGGAATTCTGAACTCTTAGAATTTACTCACCTTAGAGCTCAAGTTTGAAAGCAAGTAATGATTAGTTTTCGTTTATAACAACTACTTTTGAGTTCTTCTCACAGGCACTGTGCTGTTATATGGGGAATACTAACTATAAATAAACCCTGCCTTTAAGGTAGTAACAATTCAGTTACAGAGATAGAATGATCACAGAGGAAAGAACCAAAAGCTGAACTGCACAGCACAAATTAAGAGCAACAGGAGTTCCAGTAAGAGAAGACTGACGCAGCAGAAAATGCTTCATGGAAGAGACGGATATGAACAGTGTCTTCTGGGATCACCAGGGTTTAAAGAACATTTCAGGTGAGAATACTGAAGTGGCATGAGCAGAGGCCCAGAGGTAGAAGGTAGTGGGCAGGGATAAGCAACTCAACAGAGCTGGGAGCGGGGTATGGAAAGCACAGGAGAGAAGCAAGGAGGGGTGAGCCAAAGGCCACTCGTGAAGGGCTCTAAAAGCTGAGAGATCAGTTTGGGCTCAGTACAGGGGACACAAGGAACCACCAAGGGTGCCTGAGCAGGAAGAGAAGAGACCAGGTTCAGGACCAGCTCTGCCACTTCCTCACCCAGTGACCAAGGGCAAGTTATTTAACCTCCACGACCTTTCTTTCCTCAGCTGGGTTCAGGTGGGAGGGAGAAACTAAAACGAGGACAATGATAAAGAAAAAAAGGGAATTTGGCAGGGAAGCCTCAGTGTCTGCTTGCTGTACTACCACCCCTGGCATTCTCTGAGGGGCCTTTCCCCAAAGAGCTGCATCTGTCACCTCAACATGCAAGTCCGTAGGAAAGGAATGTGACCTTAATCAGGAATTTATTGCCCAGCAGCCTCATAGGGACATGTCTGTCTACAACTGAGGAGGCTTGTCCTTGAAGGGGAGGGCCAGAGTCCCATGGCCAGGACAGTGTCCAAGGTGTGCAGTTTCAAAGGTGTGCTCTCAAAGTGGGTCTTTAAAATGACACGTGACACAACTTACACCATCTTTTACTGATTATATAATTTAGTAAGTAGACATTTTATTCAGGTACCTTTTGCTGTTGTTGAGTTTCGCCTGTTCCCTCCCGGCAGAAGGGAAGAAAACCTGTTAACACAGTAGCCACTCTTGGTGTAGGCACTGGTGGAACCCTGTGTGGAGAGAAAGCTACCATTCTCATTAGGCACCTAGGTCTCCTCACCCCCCTGTTCTCTCATTCTGCAGGGTATCATCACCTAAACATGGCTCTCAATGAACCCCTCCTGCAGGAAAGAGTTTCATCTCCACTCCAGGCACAGCTGCTGTGCCAGATAGCAATATGGAGAACAAAGAGTTCCTCCCACGACTCCATGGCCGGGCACAGAACCACAAAGGCATAGCGTGGGCAAGGGCAGCACATAGACCAGGCATGCTGGCCTGGGGTCAGGGGCAGCTACTCACCCTGGAGGCCACGATTAGGGCTCTTTTTCCAACAGGGCATACGACCACAATCCATTCCTGCCCCAAATCTGAAGGGACATCAATTAACCACTCAGACAGCATCAACTAGGAACACAAAAAAATAGTGTTAAAAGATCAGCAGGTGTGTGTTGCTCAAACGCTGACAGTGACAAAGTATCCACATCCTGCACATGTGCTAACAATTCATGTAAAAGAATGAGGGGAGAAAAGGCTGCCAGTAGGACCTCCACCCCACTTGCTCAGTAGATGAGCTTGTTTCCTGCTCACTGAGGGGATGGAGGCCACTCACTGTGAACTTTAGCTTCTCTCCTCACCTTCGTGACCACACCCATCCTTACTACCTCACTTCCTGTACTGGGGTGATGACACCCTCTTCCTTTCCTTCCTTCATCCATCCACCTACCACTATCCTAACTGCTATGTTCCAGTGGTTACCCCTCAGAGATGAATAAGGTCCCTGGCCTTGAGATGCTCTTAGACTAGATCATTTCCCACACTGGCATCCCCAATATCTTACTGTTGGATGTCACGAAATCTGCCTTTAAAAAAAAGTGCTGTGGTGAAATAAATTTGACAAGATTAACTCTTCCACTCATAGTTCCTCCTCTCTATACAAAGACTCTGTCTCATTGATTAACCTCTCCCACTGAATATTTCATCTCCCCTCCTTCCCCTCAGCCCACAAATACTTGCCTCCAATCTTAAAAAACAAAAACCTCATCAATCTACGTTTCTGTCAAGCTATTCAAGTTTCTCCTATTTTTAAAAATTACTTAATATTTCTTGATGTTTCCTTCCCACCCACTGACATCCTCTGTCCAGATTTGCTATCCCACCACCCTGAGAAAGGCCACTTCTCTCTCTTCCCTCTCCTCCTCCTCATCCTCCCCACTCACTCCTCACCACATGTGATGCTGCTAGTCACACCCTCTGCCTTGACAGATGTTCCCCTGGGCCTGCGACACTGTGCTATTCTGTTTGTCCTCCAAATGTTCCTCCATGCACTCCCAAAACACATGTAGATGGACCTTCAGGGTGCTGTCTTAGGTCCCTTGGGGTGGATCTCATCCATTCTTACAGCTTCACGTGTCACTTCTACGAGCATGCCTCCCAATCCTCCTTCCTCATCTCCAGACTTTTTTCCTCCAGCCCTATATTTCAGCTGTTTACTTGGCATCTGGTTCTCTGGTTCTCTGCTTCTCCTCTCTGTACCTTGAACTCAGCATATTCAAAATGGAATTCATTGCCTTCTGTTGCCCAAGTACTTCCCCTCCCTCAAAACCCACCCTTCTCCTTCTGCATTTTGTAACTCTGTCAATAGCATCACTGTTCTGTTACTAAACCTTAAAAACATGGCATAATCAACCCTCCCCTAAAAAATGGTAGTAATATAACACCACAAGCACAAGCACCAAAATAAAAAATAAACTGTACTACATCAGAAATTAAAACTTTTGTGCTGCAAATGATACCATCAAGAAAGTGAAAAGATAACCCACAGAGTGGGAGAAAATATTTGTAAAGCATATATATGACAAGGGACTTACAGCTTGAATATATAAAGAATTCTTCCAACTCAGTAATGAAAAGACAACCGAGTTTAAAAATGAGTAAGAGATTTGAACAGACATTTCTCCAAAGAAGATATACAAATGGCCAATAAGAACATGAAAAGATGCTCAACATCATTAGCCATTAGGGAAATGCAAATCAAAACCACAACGAGTTAACCAATGTCATCAAACAATATGTGTACTAACTGTGTAATAAGAAGCTAGTCTGGTCTGTAAACCATCTAAGGTACAATTTAAAAAAAAAAAAATTACAATCAGCTAGGATGGCTACAATAAAAAAGACAGACAATGTAAGTGTTGGTGAGGATGTAAAGAAACTGAAACCTTACATGCTGCTGGTGAGAAAGCAAAATGGTACAGCCACTTTGGAAAACAGTCTGGCAGTTCCTCAAAAAGGTTAAACATAACGTTACCATATGACCCTGCAATATACCCAAGATATATACCCAAGAGAAATGAAACACATATCCACACAAAAACTTGAACAAGAATGTTCTTATCAGCATTATTCGTAATAGCCAAATAGTGGAAACAACTCGAAGGTTCATGAAAATAAGGTACATCCATACAATGGAACGTTATTCGGCAATAAAAAGGAAGGCAGTACTAATAGATGCTACAACACAGACGAATCTTGAAAACATGCTAAGTGAAAGAAGCAAGACACAAAAGACCACATATTGTATGACTCTATTTTTATCAAATGTCCTGAATAGCCAATCCAAAGAGACAGAAAGTAGATTAGCTGTTGCCAGGGGCTAAGTGGAGGAAGAAATGGGGAGTGAGTGCTAATGGGCATGGGGCTCCTTTTCAGGGCAATGACATGTTCTGGAAGTAGACAGTGGCAATGGTTGCAGAGCCCTGCAAATACACTAAAAAGCACTAAATTTTACAGTACAAATAGGTAAACCGTATAGCACGTAAATTATATCTCAATACAGCCGTTTTTTTTAAAAAAAAAAAAAACAGTAGTAGCTGCTAATATTTGTGGGGCACTTATTATGGGCTCCAGGCTAGATATTTAAAGTACATTACCTTATTTAATCCTTCAGTGGCATACAGACATGTACTATAAAACAGGTGCTATGAGATACGTACTATTACTATCCCCTACTTTATAGATGAGAAACCAGAGACTTAAGAGTAGTTAAGCAACTTGCTCAAGGTCAACATAGAGCCTGGCTTTGAGGTCAAAGTCTATGTGACCTCAGAGCTCACCACTTCTCATACTGCCTCTCCCATCCAATCCACTGCTAAATAACGTCCATTCTACCTGGCCATACTTCTCATAGTCATGACCTCTTGTCTTCCCACCTTCAATGCCTTTTGCACCTGTCATTAGATCAGGATTTAGCAAACCCCGAACTAACTTTCCCCCCTCCCCTACCAGCAGTCTCTTCCTCCTCCAGCCCCTTCTGCACACTGTTGTGGGAGTCAACATATGAAGTCACACTCTGTCCCTGGCTCAAAATTTCTCGGTGGTTCCCCACAATCTAAAACAGTCTAAAGCCCTGCACATAATTTTGAGGCCCTTTACCTCCTTCCCCTAATCCAACCCTTTGCTGCTCCATCCTCACTGGCCTGCACACCACTCCTAAGCACACTATATACTCTTGTCCCACCTCTGGGCTCCTGCTCAGCCTGCTCCTGCTGCCTGGACTGCCCTTGCTTGACACCTCTGTCTGCCAATCTCCTCCCACTCTTCAAGGCTGCCTCTTCCTTCATGAACCATTCCCTGATTCCACACTGCTGCCCCCTCCCCCGTCAGAAGGAATCTCACTTCCTTATAGCACAGATCACGTTCTGTACTTATTCTAGGAGTGCAGGGCTATTTCTTGTCCATGTATATCTTCCCCACAGCATAGCCTAGTTTAGCACAGAGCAAGTCCTTGAACAATGCTTGCTGAACAGAACTGAACTGTACTTTGTCACAGAGGCTGTTATTTTTGCTGTATTTGGGGCAGAGAAAGGGGACAGGGAGGTGTGTACCCAGGGGCCATATTCAAAGCTGGCAGATGATTCTGAGGTGACAAGGCACTTGGGTTAAAGAGAGGAATATGTAAAGTATGTAACAGCAGGATAGCCTCCTGTCCCCATTCTGATCCACACTCTGTCTTCTGGCCTGGACTGCCTGGAGCCCAGGACAACCTCCATATCTGCTTTCCCTATGGCACAAGCCATATCAGTTTTCTCTCTGAATCCAACAGAGCACTGAGTCATGTTTGTTTACAGTGACGTGCTGCTTCTTGGCCTCAACTTCACCTTGGCCTGGGGTGGCTGGCCAGGCACCCCTTATTCAAGGGCAGCTGTACTTCCCACCTTCCACCACCTGAGTGTGAAAATCCAGGACTGGGGTTTTAGTATACCACTTGGGAAAGACCACCAACTTGGGACATGCTGGGCTGGGCAGGCTTAATGGAGAGCAGCTGTGCATGGGCTACTAAAGCAATGACATGAACATGGAGTCTGATAGCTTGGGGCTTTAGCAGGGGGCTGACGGCCTTTGGTAACAGCCTGGTATAAAGACTCCTAAGCCCACTACCCAGAGACTCAGCTGATGACTGCCAGTCAGTACACAGCACTGCAAGCCATCTCTTCTACCATCCCATAACCTTTATGGACAGAGGCATTTTCTCTGCAGTTCCTATTCCTTTGCCCTACCTCATCCTCCCGATGAGGCCACATCCTCTCTTTCTGGCCACAGGTACTTCAGTGGCTGACTGCACAGCATAGCAAAGGGACTGGGACCAGCTGAGCCTACTCTTCTCTGAACCACTCACTTGATTAGCATAGCGTTTTGGTAACTTCTTGCCAATGTCAATGTCCATTTCTTCATCATCTTTCTTATCTTCGTCCTCATCACTTTCCATCCCTGTCCAGTCATCTTCAGCCAGTCTTCTGGCATGGTTCACATAATCCAGTCGCTTGCTGGAGAAAGAAAAGGCACAAAGACTGGTCTTTACATTTTGTAGGAAGACACTCTGCAATGTGACCGACTTAATTTTAAAGGCTCCAAATTTGGGAGTAACTTAGGGATTCTGGTGGGAGTAAGAGGTAACAGTTTCCTTTGCAAGGCTAAACTAGTGACCACCGCCTCACAGATCCTAAATAGGGAACCCCCATCTGAACACATTCAGCCTTCCTCTGAGTTTCTCAAAAACGGGCAAAGCAATATTTTTAAAGGAATTTCCAAGGTTTACTAGCTGAAAAGGCTGCTCTTCCCTCCCAACTCCCACCCCCACCCTGGGTTACAGTTTAGAATTGACACTTCCCCTGCCTGGCAGACACCTAGTCCTAAAGGCCCTGGGGACAGGAGAAATGAGATACAGTGAGAAGTCTAAAACAAAGACAGCTTCTGGGGCTTTCTGCTTTATACAGCTTCCTGGGGGAGACGCCAGACCTTTTGGCAGTTCCTGTCTTTCAAAAAAGGTCACTTAAATTTTATGATTTAGTATCTTTTACTTATTTGTTTCCCTTTATCATTATGCTGCTGCTCTTTTTTTTTTAACTACATATTCTAGAAAGTTTGGGAAATTGAGAAGGAAGAAAAATCTAATTTTCATTTTGTACCTTTCGGAACCCGATTGTGCCGCAGTGATTTGGAGATACCGTGTAACCTCCCACGCTTGGTTTCCTCAATGCTAAGGCAAGAGGTCAGCCAAACCAGGCAGTGAGACCAAGAGAGTTGGTTTTCTCTCAAATACACACACACGTACATGCACATTCACATGAAGGTACATGCCAGAGACAGCATATGTAAGCATGATGGCCTTTTATTTCAAGAATGAGAGAGCTGGTGTACCTATACATGTGTGAAAGGATGCCGGCCCATGGTTATTTCCCGGGCATTGCTTGGAATCACAAGAGAAGGGAGTGACCCAGATGCCCATCAGTAGGAGACTGGTTAGATTACATTATCAACTATCCATTCAATGGAACACCTGGCACCATAAAAAAAGAATAAGGTAGCACTTATGAACTTATATGGAAGCTCTCCTAGAAACACTGTTAAACAGATGTATAGAACAGTGTATAATAAGCTATTGGCTTGTATTATTAAAAAAGAAAACAGAAACAAACTGTTGCGTACACACCAATCATACACACTTGCTAATATTTGCCTAGAATATCTTTGGAAGGATACACAAGAGATGAATTGGATGGCTTGGGAACAGAATTGGGAGGGAGACTTTTTACCATATTTCCTTTTACATATTTTGAATTTTGAACCATATGAATGTACTACCTATTCCAAAATAATTAATTACAATTAAAAAGAGAGACAGACAGAGCAAGAGGACTGATCTGGGAATGTAATCTGCAAGCAATCCCAGAGTGCATTGGGAACCATCCATGCTTAACACATCCAGTGACGCAGCACTGGGCAAAAATACAGACCGGATGGAAACTGTGCAGCTGTTAATATTTTCTCCTAATCCTTAATTCCTTGATTCATTACCCAGACAAGGCTCAGGCTGCACGGAGAATAAAAAGACAGGCCCTGTCTTCAGAGCAATCCAGCCTCAAACACTCCTCTCCTGCTCTCTCTGGTTGTTTGCTCATCTTGGCATTTAGAATTAAGTGCATGGAAGACATTTCCTCAGGCTCCCTGTGGAATTATTGGTTTTGAACTCCTGAGGGCTTGGTAGAAACATTTGGGCTGAAGGCGGACGGGAAGACCACACCAATGCCAGGACTCAGAGTGCAGGAGAAGCCACACATAAGCCAACACAGGGAATACAGGGAGTGGAAGTACGGGTGTGGCTTTCACAAGTCCCTACATTCAAAGCTCAGTTCTGCTGCCAGGAAAAAAAAATTTAAACAAATAATTGAGCTTTTGCTTTCAAGCTTCAGTGTCTCCCTACTTCCTCATCTTTCCCTAAGCTCTGGGCATAAGGGATGTTAACCTCTGCCAGGATTTACCCCTCCCAATCTCATGGGCAGAAAGATAAACCTACAAAGGGTCTACTGAGACAAGCCTAGAGCCTCCTGAATGGCTCCCAGCCCCCAGCTCCGAGAAAGAAGCCAAGGAGCTAAAGCATCCCTTACGTTTTCTGCAGTTCCAGTAACCGACGGCGACGCTCACTCTGCTCCAAGGAACTGTACTTGGACTTGTACTGGGACAGGCGGGGGTGCGGGGCTGCTGTGCTATTCAAATCTTGGGATACAGAAAAGCTACTAGCCAGGGCTTGACTCAGTTCTTCCATCTTTCCTACGAAAGAAAGCATTAAAAAATGGTTAAATCAGTACAGATCATCTCCTGTGTACAGGCAGTTACAATGTAACATGATGCCTACAGTTCTAAGAAACACCACTTAATCGAGTTGTAATTCTTTCCATGGGAAAAGAGGAAGGTAAGGGGTAAATGAGCTACAAATTAGCAATAACGGTATTTTATATCCTGCAGATATTTCAATAATGATCATTGTGATAGCTTTAAGTGTATAGATAGGAAACTCAATCACTAAACAAACTCATCCGATGACTGAATCTAACTTTTGCTCTCTCACTCATATCCATGAACCCTATCATTAATTTCTTCTTACCACCATTGACATCCAGCAATGTGATCATGCATCAATAACTAATAACTTACTGATGTCAATTCTATCCAACTGGTTATTTCATTCTCTAAACCCATTGTCATTGAGTCAATTCCAACTCATAGCAACCCTATAGGACAGAGAAGAACTGCCACATAGGGTTTCCAAGGAGCAGCTGGTGGATTTGAACCTTTTTGTTAGCAGTCGAATGTTTAACCAAGCCACCAGACTTCCATTTAACTCTCTAGTAAATGCCAACTCATGTTAAGAAAACTTAGCGGCAGAAGAAAGATTGGTTCTGAGGCCCCTGGAGGGAGACAAAGGGACCCAAAGATTCAAATCTCAGCAGTTACTTTCTCATTTTGCAGTGTTTTTTTTTTTTTTTTTTTGTGGCGGGGGGGCGGTGAGGTGGAGGGGAAGGAAGGGAGCTTTCAGGGCTACCTATGTGGGACTCACTTGGAGAAAAGCAAGAATGTGGAAGGCTGCCTAAAAGCTAACACCAACTGTTCCAGAAGTATGGAGAACTTACATGTGGTACATTTGGGAGACAAGGAGTATGGAGACAGCCTGGGTAGTGAATGGGATTACTACTAGAGGTGAATTCACACTTCATTCACACTCCTTGAATGAAGGTGAGGTGGCAGAGGAGCTTACTCAAGGGTTAAAGGTGTGCCTCAGATTGTAACAGGAACATTTGGGAGAAATCTGACTCATTCTTTAGTTCTAGTATAAACGGGAAGGCACAGCCAGTGCTTCAACTGCATTCCAGACCATGTCCCATTGCTCTGAGCACCGAAATCAAAAGGTTCATTCCAGACCCTCCACAGTTAAAAATAAAACTCCATGGGCCTCTACTTGGCCAGTGAGTTACTTTCCATTGCACACTTGAAGTCAGATTTATTTTTTTCTTAATTTGCAGTATAAGATTTTTTAATCTGAAAGGTATTTTCCAATTAGCAATATTAACATATTATCCTATTATCAGCGTGAACTGGAGGCATAAATTGTTATGCAACTGGAATGGCCCCGATGATGAGTACTTGCTTGGGGTCCATTAAAAATTTTCATAATACAACAAATTTTTAATTATGTCTCAGGCTTACCAAAGTAATCACCATATCCAAAGTGCAATTTTCAAGCCTTATCATGCTCTATCTGGGTGTGGACTCCCTCTCCGCTAAGAAGCGCAAATCCTTAAAACTGACGCCTTGGACACTGGGGTGGCTCCCTATATTTTCCTTTACGGCTGTTATAGGCTATCTTTTGCTCTTTCAACATAATCATTGGATGGTGCTGTCTTCAAGGGTCTGGCCTTAACCTAGGTACTCCCATCCTCCACACCTGGGGGTTTATCCTCCACCTGTAGTCACCTCTCCAATTCCCACATATCCGACCTGCCCAGGCCCTTCCCTCGTGCTCCAGATCCACGCGCGTCCCCTGACTGGTCCTCCTCCGGCACCCCCACCTCCAAATCGCCACCAGCACGGCTCAAGGTGTCCTCGGCGCCTCCTTCCCCCCACCTACCAGGCTCCAGCCCCGTGACTACCTGCTCCACTCGGCCGTCCTCCCCGCCACGGCCCTACACCGCCTTTCTTTAGGTAACAGGTGATCTAGACTTTGCATAATTTGCATTCTCCCCTCGCCCCTCCCCCACCACCAAATTTCCCTGATGGGTCCTGGCCGGGTGGCCAGGAACAGAAGAGTGGAGGAGCGCCCAAGGGAAGGCCCTAGCCTGGCTCTGCCCCTCCAGGTGACGTCCCGAGAGGCAAGGAGTGCGGGTATGGCCGGAGGGAATCACCGCCGGGCGCTGAGGGCCACCTCGGGAGCCGGAGGGTCCAGGCTCGAACCCAGGACTCACCGGTCCAACGCGACCGTTCCACGCGCCGCCGCCGCCGCCGCCGCCGGGGGCCGACCAATCACCTGCGCTGGGAGAGCCAGGCCCGCCCCCTTGGCCGCGGCCGCGCCACTCGGTCCACCAGCCACGCGCCCGGAGTTTCTGGCTCCTCCTGCTGTTGCAGACGCCGGGCGTCCTCCCGCGCTTCGCCGGCCGGCCGTTACTGACGCCCTCAACGGCCCGGACTTCTCCATTTGGCCTGACGGGGGAGCTCTTTCTGCTTCTGCGATGCACTGTCCTGGACACCTCCCGCAAGATGACTTGGCCCGGCCAAGGCTGCACTCATAGGTACACGCTCCTCAGTGGTTCGTTTCTCCAGTAGGAAGAACCCCACCTCGTAGCTAGGCGTTCAAGGCCCGCCAGGTACTGGGTTCTGCCGTCTCCCCGAGATCCGCCCAATCCTTAGGGGTACACCAACAGCCCGCGCCGTCTCCTGTGCCCCCTGCTTTTTGCACGGGCAGTGCCAATTGCCCCTGAATGTCTCCCCCTACTTCTCAAGCGACCAAGTCTCTTAGATGTCCCGTCCTCATTTGCTTTACAACACCAGAAACACACCTCGGGTACAGCCTATTTGTTCGGTTTGGGAGTTTCTCTTAACTACTTAGCTGTGAGCTTGGCAATGGCAGGGACCAGGCTTAATTCCAGCTTTAGTCAGCCTGCAGCCCAAGATCCCGCACTCGGTAGACCTTGGGTGAAGAAATGATGAATTGGTGCAAGAGGTGAGGGGTGGTAGCAGAGATTTAGGAGACCTCATCAAACCAGGATGCAGCCTCTTCCGGGGCAGGACTGATGAGATGCAAAATAAAAACATGAATGGCCATTTATTGAATGCTTATGTTGAGCCAAACACTGCTTTACATGCATTATCTTATTTAATCTTCAAAAAAGACCAAGTAGGAGACTGAAGCTCAGAGAGGTAATTTGGCCAGAATCACATAGCATTTGAGTCAGATGTTTGAATTTGCTGAATGTTTGACTTACAGAGAAGTTGGATATTCCTTTATTACAGAAACTAAATATACAAACTTGGCACATTTTTAGGCCAAGGAATGTGAAAATGTGGACATCACACTATCCATTTAGTCTAAAAAGAACAGGGAATTAAACTGACAAGGAGGGTGAAGAGTGCAGGGGGCCCTGGAAGACCAATTTTTTGGACCTCAGAATTTATGTAAGTGGGCTCTATTTCCCAATAGCAGGCTGAGTAAAGCTGTGCACTAGCTTATTTGGTGTGTCCACAAATAAAAGCATATGTCTGCCTGATTTAGGAAGACTAAAAAAAAGAAAAGTCCAGGGAGTAAATTCATCTAGGGAACTTTGACATCACAAAATTAGATAATTGGTGTCCCAGAACCACCACTCCCTACCCACAACCCTGGAGGTCACATATAGTGGTCAGAACTGCACAGAAAAGAGCAAAGGCCCTAAGTGTTGGATGGAGAAGGAGGTCCCCAAATTCACGTATGGAGGTCCAGGAGAAAGGTTCCAGTCTCTTACTCACACCCAACTGAATATCACACAAACACACACACGCAGAATGTTTCCCCAACTATTAGCCTTTAGCACCTCACCTTCACAAAGTTGGCCACATACATATAGGCCTGTACTTAATGTCTTTAAATCAATTTACTTAAAAAAAAAAAAAGGCTAAATTTATTTAAATGGGCATCATCATAGAATTACCTTAAATCATTTCCCACTTTAATAGACGGTGTCTATAAAATAAATACAGGGAAAATAAAATAATGCTGTTAAAATCAAACTAGAGACTGATGTCAGCAGAAAGCTCTGACATTAGGGACTTCTTTGTAAAAATCAGAGATTAGCAAGTATTGGAGAAGTGATAAGGAGTAACACTAAATGTTTTCTTTGATGTAATCAGAAAAAAAGAATAGGAGAGGGAAGATTCACTTTCACATTCTGATTCAGTGTTATTTAAGGTGGAATCTGTGCACCCCCTAAAGTCTTCTGGTAAACTTGCATATGCTGAGAACACTGACCTAGAAAAGGGGAGGTTGAGGGCAGGAAGGTGTCCAGCCCTTCCAACAGAGGGAGCACTCACCAGAGGGCCTGAGTTCACTCTGTCAATTAACAAACGTGTATTTAATGCCTACTGTTTGTCAGGCAGTATGCCAGGCCTGGGAGATACAGAAATGACCAAGACTGACATGGCCCCTGTCCTCTGGGAGCTTACAGCCTAGTTGTGATAGGGAAACACCAATAATAAACACCATAGCAAATACAGGGCAGTACCAAAGAGATCGGGTGGCTGGGTAGTGAGTGAGCACAGTGGGGCTGCTGGGTGAGGGTGTTCAGGGAATTTCTCTATGAAGAGTTGACATTTGAGTCAAGACCTGAATGATGAGAAGGAGCCAGCCACAAGGACAGGGAGACCAAGTATTTCTAGAAGAAGGTGCAATGGGTGCAGAGAGACTGGAGACAGGACCACACTTGCTCGGTACGAGGAGTAGAGATGGGTTGGGGGAAGTGGAAGGAGACAAGGTCATAGAGGCATGTCATGGATTGAATTGTATCCCCCCAAAATATGTGTCAACTTGGTTGGGCCATGATTTCCAGTATTGTGTGGTTGTCCTCCATTTTGTGACTGTAATTTTATGTTAAAGACGATTAGGGTAAAATTATAACACCCTTACTAAGGTCACATCCCTAATCCAGTGTAAAGGGAGTTTCCCTGGAGTGTGGCCTGCACCACCTTTTATCTTACAAGAGATGAAAGGGAAGCAAGCAAAGAGTTGGGAACCTCATACCACCAAGAAAGGAGTGCCGGGAGCAGAGTGTGTCCTTTGGACCCAGGGTTCCTTCACAGAGAAGCTCTTAGTCTAGGGGAAGATTGATGACAAGGACCTTCCTCCAGAGCCGACAGACAAAACCTTCCTCCAGAGCTGATGCCCTGAATTTGGACTTCTAGCCTACTAAACTGAGATAATAAATTTCTCTTTGT